ATTTTCTCTGGCCTGCCTCAGGAGTTCATTGTTCTCCTCGCCCAGGTCCTGTATTGACCTATGACTTCCGGTTTTGATTTTATTGTGGTGTTCCTACTTGGGTCATGACTTAACAGAAAGAGCACCTTAGTAGGATTTAGAAGACCTCTACTCTGTTCCAGTTCTACCTGTTTCTGGGCAGTATGGCCTTGAAGTGGTCATGTCACTTCCCTGTGCTTTAGTTTCTTTGTCTAAAACAGAATAACAGTTCTAGTCTTGTTAACTTCAAATAGTTACGGAGATAACTAGAAGCACTTTTGAAAACTCTGTAAACTCAGTATCAAGATGATATTTTTATATTGTTTTACAAATAGTATATTTTCAGAGATCTGTTGCCTAACTCCACCTTGTGAAAGTTTCATGTCCTATAACAAATGTATTTTCTGTGAGCTTCTAAATGGTAGCTAGAGTGTAGATTTGGATTAGCCGTTTGAAGAATAATTCCTTTCTGTGTCATTTCACCTTTTCCCTAATTCTAGTGTTTGTCCAGGCCTTTGCTTTGCAGTCACAAAAATAAACCTGATTCTTGCCAGCTGGGTGAAGGTCATACTGAATACCAATGAGGGAAAGCATTAACCTAGCATTTAGAGTATTCTGCTGCATACTGTTCCTTATCTGTTCTTGTGTGTCTGTTTCCCCAGCTATATTGTAAACCTTTTCCTATTCCTACTGGCTAACACCCTACAAGTGATTTGTGTTGACACTGATAATGATAGTGGTGCAAGAAGATGATGGTGAGACAAAAGAATGTCAGCTGATTTGAACGGAGGTAGCGGCCATGTGCACCCTTGCTAAACAGGTTTTAGGTTGCAATAATTTTTTAACTAATTCCTCCTGAAGCTCGTGTGAATATTCCTGCTTGACAGAGCTCTTAGGATGAAGGCATTAGAATAGAGGGATACAGGATTTACTATATTTCAGTCATCAGATGGACCAGAAATGTAAGCGTCTTAGGGAAATTCTGATTGATTCAATGGTTATATGTGGTGTAACATGCTACAGTGGTATGATACATGATACATCTTTTATCTGCTTTGATGTTATTGTATATATAAAATACAGAATGTCCAACAGTCACCCATAGACTCCTAGGTTTTGAAGTTGGGAGGAGGAGCATTCGAGGTCATCTAGTCCAGCTTCCATGTTTGCAAATGAGAAAGTTTTGGCAGGCAGGAACTACAACCCACATATTCAATTGAGATTCTTATATTGTCTTGCTAGTGTGTGCGTATAGCTCCATAAATATATGAAAAGGAGCCTTTGAGAATATTTCAATGTGGTTAGGAACCAATGTTCATATGATGGAGAATGAGAGTCTTTTGAGTGACTGTTTAATACATAATGAATATTATTTTAAAATGTGGTTGTAGCATTAGTTTAATTAGTTTATAATGTGCTAAATTGTTTGGAAGAAGAAATTTTTGACCCAGAGATTGCCATAGATGTTTACATGCATGAACTATATATCACTGTAGTTATCAGGGAAGGCTTTACTTGGAGGTGGGATGTGAACAAGACTTTGTGGGACAGGTAAAAATTAAATGGACAAACGGGCCAATAAGAAGAGAGGATGCGTGAATGAAGGCAAGGAGGATGTAATGAGCAAGGTTGTGAGGGACTGGAGCTTGTTTGTCTGTTACATGTTGAACAGCAGTGGGAAATACTTCTGTATAGTTAAGTGGAACAAGGTAAAGCAGGGAATTTGTTAGAAGAGTTAAGAATTTGAATTTTATCTCAAAGTGTATAAAAGTGATGTGCGTTCAGTTCTTTAAAAGTAGAATGACATGCTGGCATGTCATCTGACTTTCCTGGCCATCAGTTTCTCTCCCAGGTCAGTCATGGTTAATCTGCCATCTACAAATTTAGTGGCCTTTTTCAGTCCTCTTTCTCCTTGAGCTTTGATACTTTGACCACCTTGTACTCTTTGATACCCTCTTGCCTTTGCTCTCATGCACTGTTCTCTCCTGATTCTACTGCCTCTCAGGTTTACCTTCTGTCCCACGTCTTCTCTCAGCCTTGACATGGAGGGAAATCACAAAGCTAAGTGTCTCTTATTATAAGTAATGGACCCATTCAATTTAAGATAAGAGGCCTTGAGAGAAGTCATGAAACAATAAAACTCTTAGAAGAAAACATAGGCAAAAATCTCTTGAATATAAACACAAGCAACTTTTTCCTGAACACATCTCCTTAGGCAAGGGAAACAAAAGCAAAAATGAACAAATGGGGCTATATCAAGCTGAAAAACTTCTGTACAGCAAAGGACGCCATAAGCAGAAGAAAAAGGCATCCTACAGTATGGGAGAATATATATGTAAATGACTTATCCGATAAGGGGTTAACATCCAAAATATATAAAGAACTCACACACCTCAACACCCAAAAAGCAAATAACCCAATTGAAAAAATGGGCAGAGGATCTGAACAGACAGTTCTCCAAAGAAAAAATTCAGATGGCTAACAGGCACATGAAAAGATGCTCCACATCACTAATTATCAGGGAAATGCGAATTAAAACCACAGTGAGATATCACCTCACACCAGTTAGGATGGCCAACATCGAAAAGACTAGGAACAACAAATGCTGGCAAGGATGTGGAGAAAGGGGAACTCTCCTATGCTGCTGGTGGGAATGTAAAGTAGTTCAACCATTGTGGAGAGCAATATGGACGTTCCTCAAAAAACTAAAAATAGAAATACCACTTGACCTGGGAATTCCACTCCTAGGAATTTCCAGGAAGAAAGCAAGACCTGAGATTCAAAGAGACACATGTACCCCTATGTTTATTGCAGCACTGTTTACAGTAGCCAAGATATGGAAGCAACCTAAGCGTCCATCAGTAGATCAATGGATGAAGAAGAAGTGGTACATATACACAATGGAATAGTATTCAGCCATAAGAAAAACAAATCATACCATTTGCAACAACATGGATGGAGCTAGAGGGTATTATGCTGAGTGAAGTAAGGCAGAGAAAGACATACCAAATGATTTCCCTCATTTGTGGAATATTAACAACGAAGAAAACTGAAGGGGAATATCAGCAGCAGACCCACAGACTGCAAGAAGGACCTAGTGGTTACCAAAGGGGAGGGGTTGGAGAGGGAGGGAGGAGGGGATTGAGAGGTATTATCATTAGTTAACATGGTGTGCTTTGGGGTTCATGGGGAAGACAGTGTAGCACAGAGAAGACTAGTGACTGTAGCATCTTACACTGATAGACGGTAACCGCAATGAGGTATGGGGGGTCTCGATAGTATGGGTGAATGTTGCAACCAAACTACTTTTCTTGTGAAACCTTCATAGGAATGTATATCAATGATAACTTAATAAAAAAAAAAAAGAGGCCTTGAGTGTACTACAATTGGAGAAGTACCAGGAGCTAAGCAACGTTCTCTCCTGGCCACATGGTATATTGCTTCCTGGCCTTTCTGCTTCTCTGTATATCCTTTCCACTTCTTGCTGGTTTCTTTGCTCACTCAGTTTTTGCTGCCCCATAACTCTGGCTTACAAATAACTTCAGTTTACCATCCCCCTGTTTCTTCCTCATGACATCTTCTGAGCTTCAACTAATTGGTATTTCTATGCTTCTTTACATTCCTAAGAGAGAGAATCTGACTGGCACTACTTATCACTTGTAGGTAGATGACATGGGTTACTGATTGATTGGCCACTCTGGGGATTAACTTTTGGTTGTCTAGTGCCTACCCTGAATCTAATCAGCCTTGGCTGTGGGTTTAGGGACAAGGTGTCTGTGGCAGGCACTCCAATCAGGGTAGCCCCTTTAGAAGGGATTGTAGGTGAGCAGGCACTACAAAATATGTCTGTTCTTTTCTCTGTATTCTAAACTGCAAAATCTCGTAGCTCTCTCACCTACACCTCACTTCTCTTAAGGGTGCCCTAGTTTTGCATCTCTAGCTACCTGTCAAATGAACGTACCCACCGACGTGTCTCTGTCAGCTCAAAATCAGCATTTTTAAAAATGAAGTCACCTTTCTTCCAAAAGCAGTTCTCATTCTGTGTAGAGTAGGCAGGTTTTCTTAGTCTCTAAGCTTCCTTTATAACTTTGTTTTCCTTTCTTTCCATTTCTGACTGGGCACCAAGATACCTCATCTTCCTTTATAAAATCTCTTGCATTGGTCCCTTCCTTTCCTTTCATGTCGACACTGCCTTACCCTGGCCTTTAGCCACATGTTTGAGTTTGCCCCATTCTCCTTACTTACTTTCCTGTGCCTTTATCTCCTTTAACACATTTCTGTTAAAGCTGTCAGGAGAATCTTTGTTCCCTGTTTTATCATGACTCTTAGCTTGAAAATAGCGACAGATCGAGTCAAACAAATAAAGAAGCATTGTAGGTTTTTACAGAATGACAACAGTCACCCAACAAATGGCCTTTATTTCTACATAGAAAGGCATGAATATTAAGCTATGTGGAGAGTAAACAATATGAGCTATGGGCGACTTCTAATCTGAAGGACAGACTTATGTGTCAGATCAGTTGCATTCAATGTTATAGATTGTCAAACATTTGAAAACAAGAATCTATTCATTTATGCATTTATTCATTCATTTATTTTATTTTTTTTGGTATTATTAATACATACTTACATGAACAAAATTGTGGTTATGAGATTCCCCCAATTATCAAGTTGTTCATCAGTGTAGTAAAATGCTATAGAATTACTATTTGTCTTCTGTGTGCTATACTGCCTTCCTGGTGCCTGCCCCATACATTCTGTGTGGTAATTGTAATGCCCCTTTTTTTCCCTTATCCCTCCCTTCCCACCCATCCTTCCCAGTCCCTTTCTCTTTGGTAACTGTTAGTCCATTCTCCGGTTCTGTGAGTCTGTTGCTGTTTTGTTCCTTCAGTTTTTTCTTTGTTCTTATACTCCACAGATGAGTGAAATCATTTGATACTTGTCTTTCTCCGCCTGGCTTCTTTCACTGCGCATAATACCCTTTAGCTCTATCCATGTTGTTGCAAACGGTAGGATTTATTTTTTTCTTATGGCTGAATAATATTCCATTGTGTATATGTACCACATCTTTATCCATTCATCTACTGATGGACAGAAGAAACAACTTTGTTAATGGCATAAATACCCTTATTATTAGGTGTAATTATCAGGTGTTTTCCTGAAATATTGTTTGGGAACTTATAAATGATAGTCAATTTCTTAGCTCTCAAAAAATTTTTTCTTTGAATTGGTTTAGTAAACGGGAATGCAACTTGGCATTGAATCATGTGATTCTTCCTAGAATGCCTATTTTGAAAAATGTTAAAGGTCATTTAACTTCGAATTTTTAATTGATAGTTCTTTGAACTTTATCTTAAACCTGTCCAGACCAAATCGAAGAAAACCTTAGCCAAACCCAGTATAAGGAATATTGTGGTGGTGGATGGCATTCGCATTCCATTTTTACTATCAGGCACTTCGTAAGTATGGAATGATTGTGTCCTCACTCCCTCCCTCCCTCCCTCCGTTCCTCCTTCCTTCCTTCCTTCCTCCCCCGGCCCTTTCCCCCCCGGCTTTTAGTAAGTATGATTGATATATAAAAACTTGTACATATTTAGATTGTACAATGTGATTTCCTTTAAAGGTATGCAATGTGAGGATTTAATATGTATATACATGGTGAAGTGATTACCATGATTGAGTTAATGAGCATATCCATCACCCTACATAGTTTATTTACTCCTTTTAAGGCACTTTTGAAAGTGGTCTTTGTGTAACCCAGTAGGTAATACTGTTAGTAGACTAATATATGGATAACATTTTCATGAAATGAATAGAGTAAGTCAAATAATATGATAACGTTTGTTTTTCATCCTTTTTCATGAGCAAGCCTAGTGTAATGTTAGATTGAACCAGCCCTGTTTTGAAAACCTAGTGTGGCTCTGGGTAGTGTAGTTCCAACAGGGATATCCTTTCCTTGTCTTGAGATAAATACATTGTTTCTGGGCCTCTTCTGAAGTCTGAATGCAGTGCCCATGGTTATTGTGAAGGGCGTATAATCCACTGCTTTTGCCTTCTGGAAAGTAGTGGAATTGGATTTGATGGACTGATCCAAACCTTGGCACAGTACAACGCCAAGTGTGTGCATTCAGAATGATCCTAGACCTGCACAGAAATTCCCTAGAATCAAACTGCAGTTCTTAGACTTTTCTGCTACTTTTTGTCCCCAAGTAAGGCCCAGTCTCTCCAAAAGCTGATAATGGACTTTGGTAATTAGGTTCAAACTCAATGAAATACTAGTTCTCTTCTGTTTAGATTGTTTTGGTGTTTATATTTTGAACAAGTCATTAACCTAAAAATATACTGGAGAAATGTTTGGTATCTGCTAGAAATAATGAGACCTGTCTTTACATACGAATATGGAAAGATCTAGAAGATATGTTAAGTATAAAAAGCAAAGTGCAGAGCAGTGTGTAAAATGCCATCATTTTTGAACAATGTGTATGTGTGTGTGTATACAAATGTACAGAAATAATAAATGTTTATTTTTAAACAGATGGTTTAAGGCTTGCAGAGTATTTTCTTATGGAAATAATGCTGTAAATAAATGGTAGTGAAGTTTCTTCATTCACCTTCTTTTCTGAATACGGTGTAACCCATTTCTTTCTGTAATCTCTTTCCTATACTGACGCTTCAGCAGTAAGAGTAAGAATCTGAATCTTTAGCAGCAGGAGAGTGAGGACAGAGGATCCTCCTTGTACTTAGCAGCTGCACAGTAGGAAGAGAAACTTCCATGAAGTACGCTACCTTCCTTTTGTCTAGGAGGATGGATCTGTTGCCGGCCCCTCAAAGATCTGTGCTGAACAACTGGATGGATCACTGTCTCTGGGCCACCCGTTTGGAGCCACTGGCTGTCGGCTGGTCATGGCAGCTGCCAACAGGTTACGGAAGGAAGGAGGCCAATATGGCTTAGTGGCTGCCTGTGCAGCTGGAGGGCAGGTATGGCACTGCAGCTTCATAGGTGCCTCTTGGAAAGTCATTTTCTTAGAAACAAAAGAAGCTCATCCAAGAAGGTTTGATTTTGTTGTTTAAAACTTAGAGCAGTATTTCTGCTGACAGACAACCAGAAAATTATTTTGGCAGGGGGTTAGAAGGTACAACTTTAATTCTGATAGTACTTTGGAAGGAAGATGCCATTTAAATCCAAGCTAATGATGGGAGGAGCCAAGATGGCGGCATGAGTAGGGCAGTGGAAATCTCCTCCCAAAACCATATATATTTCTGAAAATACAAGAAATACAACTACGCCTAAAAGAGACCAGAGGATACAATACAACAGCCAGGCTACATCTACATCTGCGAGAACTCAGCATCTCATGAAGGGGGTAAGATAAAAGCCACGGCCCGGTGGGACCTGAGTGTCCCCCCAGCCCCACCCCAGCTCACCGGCGGGAAGGAAGGAGTCTGATCGGGGAGGTAGTGGAAGCACAGGACTGATAAGTAACCAGCCTTAGTGATCTGCACCAGGATTGCAGACACATTGCATGGTGCGCTACATATTAGAGAAAAGGAAAAGCGAAATCTGTGAGTGCGTCCCTGCAGCTGCCTCCCCTGGGACAAAAGAAAAGCAAGTGCTTTTTTAAAGTCTTAAAGGGACAGGGGCCTCACATCTGGACAGCATGATCCCAGCACACTCAGCCCAGCAGCCTGGGAATCCTGAGGAGCTTTGGGAACCCCAGACTCCTGGGAGGGCGCACTGCTCTGAAGCCCCTCACAACAGTAAACAACTTGCTGTCCATTCCCCCACAGGCACGACCCTGCCAAAGCGGCTGAGCAGCCGCCCACAGTCTCATCCCAGTACACATCCGACCAGGCCAGGTCCCGGTGTGCTGCTGGAGCGCAACTGCCCAGCGCAAGCAGAGGAAGCCGGGGCAGGACACGAAGGGGTGCCATTCTCGCAGGAGAGCACACCCAGTGTGGCTGCCTCTTCCCGCAGGGCTCTGGGCTGCCCCGAGGGCTGCTCCCAGTGTGCGGGTAATGGACGCAGGCAGCAGAGAGGGGCAGTGCGACCAGCAAACAGGAAAGGACTTCGTCCTCCCAGCTGACACACACGCTACCTGCCTACGACTACCTCTATTGCCATGAAAATACAGAAGAATTTGGTCCAGTCCTGAATCACCCAGACAATGCCCGAGAGAGGGCTTGGGGAAACAGATATAACCAATCTTCGTGAAAGAGAATTCAAAATAAAGGTCATAACCATGCTGATGGACCTGCAGGGAAATATGCAAGAGCTGAAGGATCAAGTTAGAAGGGAGAATACAGAAATGATCTCTCAAAGAACTTAAAAGCAGACTGGATGAGGTACAAGAGATCGTTAATGGAATAGAAATCAGAGAACAGGGATACAGAGAAGCTGAGGCAGAGAGAGAGAAAAGTATCTCCAGGAATGAAATAAAAATATTAAGAGAACTGTGTGACCAATCCAAATGCAACAATATTCCCATTATAGGGGTACCAGAAGAAGAAGAGAGAGTAAAAGGGATAGAAAGTGTCTTTGAAGAAATAATTGCTGAAAACTTCCCCAAACTGGGGGAGGAAATAGTCTCTCAGACCATGGAAGCCCACAGATCTCCCAACACAAGGGACCCCAGAAGGACAACACCAAGACATATAATAATTAAAATGGCAAAGATCAAAGACAAGGACAGAATATTAAAGGCAGCCAAAGAGAGAAAAAAGTCACGTACAAAGGAAAACCCATCAGGCTATCATCAGACTCCTCAGAGGAAACCTTACAGGCCAGAAGAGAATGGCATGATATATTTAATGCAATGAAACAGAAGGGCCTTGAACCAAGAATACTGTATCCAGCACGATTATCATTTAAATATGAAGGAGGGATTAAACAATTCCCAGACAAGCAAAAGTTGAGGGAATTTGCCTCCAACAAACCACCTCTAGGCGATATTTTAAAGGGACTGCTCTAGATGGAAGCACTCCTAAGGCTAAACTGATGTCACGAGAGAAAATAAAATCACAGCAAAGAAAGCAGACCAACCAAATACTAACTAAAGGCAAAAAATAAACTATTCACAAAAGCAGTCAAAGGAAACACAAAAGAGTACAGAATAAAACACCTAACATATAAAGAATGGAGAACGAAGAATAAGAAGGGAGAGAAATAAAGAAACACTGCGTTTATAATAGCTTCATAAGTGAGTTAAGTTAGACAGTTAGGTGGTAAATTAGCTACCCTTGAACCTTTGGTAACCAAAGCCTGCAGTGGCAATAAGTACATATCTTTCAATAATCACCCTAAATGTGAATGGACTGAATGCACCAATCAAAAGATACTGAGTAATAGAATGGATAAAAAAGCAAGACCCATGTCTATGCTACTTACAAGAGACCCACGTCAAACCCAAAGAAACTCACAGACTAAAAGTCATGGGATGGAAAAAGATATTTCATGCAAACAATAGAAAAATGCAGGTGTTGCAGTACTTGTATCAGACAAAATAGATTTCAAAACCAAGAAAGTAACGAGATAAGGAAGGACATTACATAATGATAAAAGGGGTCAGTCCAACAAGATGATATAGCCATTATAAATATATATGCACCCAATACAGGAGCACAGATGTATGTGAAAGAAATACCTACAGAATTAATGGAGGAAATAGAATAAAATGCATTCGTTCTAGGAGACTTCAACATACCACTCACTCCAAGGGACAGATCCAGCAGACAGAAAATAAGTAAGGACACAGAGGCACTGAACAACACACTAGAACAGATGGACCTAACAGACATCTACAAAACTACACCCAAAAGCAGCAGGATGCACATTCTTCTCCAGTGCACATGGAACATTTTCCAGAATAGACCACATACTAGGCCATAAATCCAAGCTAATTTTTTCCTAAAACAATGTTTATGATTTGCATTTTTAAAAGTAATATACACTCATTATGGAAACTACAAAATCACTTTTAATAGAAACCATTCATAGAGCATCTACTGGGAATCAGACTCTGCTAGACAGACTCTGATGTGTGTATGTATACGTATGTGTACATAAATACATGTCTATGTACACACAGCACGGTAACTTAATGCTCATAAACCACTATGATATAGGCACCATGAGCCCCATTTTACAAAAGAAATTGAGGCTCATAATGGCTAGTAACTTCTCCAAGATCACACAGTATTTGAATAGCAGAGCCAGAATCAAACTCCAGAGCTGTATTTTCCTCATGTTCTTTGGTGCCTCTGTTGGCTGGATTCATCTCCTTTCATTGCTCTCACTGAACTTTTTTTCCTTTACAGGGCCATGCTATGATAGTAGAAGCTTATCCAAAATAATAGATCAAGAAGAGGCAACCTGAATTTCTGTGTAACATTCACGCTAGGCAATGCCATTTCGGTGCAATACTAAAGGAGATCTATAGTTTCTAGCTCCTCTGAGGAAAACAAATTTATGGCCTTCTGGTAAACACTCTGCAGTAGCTTTGCTGGTGTTCTGAACTTTCCAATAATCACAGCTTACTGCTTTCAGGGATTTCTTAGTCACTGGAATCTCACCCAGTGATACGCTGAAGCAATCGCTTTTGGTCTCTCTCTTCATTAAAGGCTTAGTGAGTGGTTGCAGCTTGGGAAAGAAGTTAATTAGATTTGGAATCATCTTTGTAACATTTGCAAATTATGCTCATTCCTATTTATTACCTAAAGATAAGTGTTTTCTAGAAAATGCACACCAGTGTGCCTACATGAACTTAAGTATCGAAAGATAATTTAGAATCTAAACGTCACCGAAAACTTAACAGTAAATGTTTAGATACATAAATACCATGTTTGTTAACCTTAATAAAGTGGAAAAGTTTTGGAGAACTGTTTGCTTTATTTTTTATGAGAGGTAAAAAATGTGGTTCTCAGCTTACTGGCAGATTTTGCCTTCATTACTCATTTGTAATCAAACCATATTTGTCAACCATGAGTCTGCTAGGAATATAAAGAGGGTCCTGCTTTAAAGAATGCCTTTTTTCCCCATTGCTCCGTTGAAGTGAGCTTATTGTTCTGTTTGAAGATGCTTCTGTTTTCCCGGATTTAAATGAAAATAAATGTAAAATTTTTGATCAACGTAATAAAAATCCTCACTTTTTATCAACCAGCATGCACTAAATACGTATGCTTAGTGCTTTGATGAAGCAAAAGTCTCAATTGTGACCATTTCTGTGAATGTTGCTTAGGTCTATGAATTTTGTTGGCAATAGAGCCAAAACATTTTTCCATATTAGATGTAGCTATACATACTTTTTAAAGACCACATAGCATTCCTTTCTATGGTTATCCTAAGTTGTTAGTTATTAAGTGCATCTATTTTAAGGGTGTAAACATAGAATGCATATCCTTTATCCATTTATCTGTTCACTTGCCTACTTATTTCAGCCATCTGTTTAGAAATGGAATCACTGCTGAATCTCACTTTCTTATATTTGCCTCTATAGCCTCCCTCCTTTCATAGTCCTTTTTTTTTATGATGAGGGCCAAGTGAACAAAGGCTTAATATTATTTCATTTATCAATTCTAAAGTATTTTTGCAGCTGAGCATGCATTGATTATGTGCTCACAGTTGAGAAGGAAAATGAGAACACATTTTTATAAAAAAGCATATTCAGAAAAGCAGTCTATGCTGCTTCTAAAGTACAAGTGCATTATTTGAATTGTTCAAAAATAATTTTATAATTTAAAATATTGAGACTAAATAAGGAAGTGAAATTGCAATGTGACTGTGTCATCAAGAAAACCAGCAAGGCACAGTCCCCACTGTTTCAGCAGCTGCTTGGCACACCTCGGGGCTGGAACAAGTACGAGGAAGGCATAGAAACATTGCTGTTGCCCGGTGAGTTGGTAACTTCTTGATTGAAACCATTTAGAGAAACACTTGGGCCAGTTTATGTGTAATTAAAATATTCACACAAATGGTTTAAGTGAAGGTATAGCTTTTGTAAGAGAAGTGTTTTCAGTGGCATGTGGTAACACATCTTTATTTCAACAACGTGTTCCCATTCTATTTTATAAAAATATCCATAAGTTTTGTAATTAACAAAGACCCACTCAGAATATTTTCATTTATCTAAAAGGTTTTTAGAATCCTGTTGTCATCCTCTTGTGGATTCTGTAAGTTAATTTAGCTGGACATCTTGGCGTCCTCGAAAGGCTTTTCTTAAGTATTTCTTCTTTTCGTGTAGTCATAGCTTGGTCCCTTTACTTTTAACTGTCAGCATTTGTCATCTTTTCTCCTGAATTCTGGGCAGTCTGCAGTGTCTCCGACTACTTTAAAATGTCTGATACATTCTTAACAAATGTGCTCTTACCAGTGACTTTTGGTCTGCATGCCTACGTCCATGAAACTCTCATGTTATGTTAATATTTTTTTAAAGGTTAAAGAAATAGGGATCTATTAATTTCATCTTTTCCTAAACTTTAAAAAGAAGCAAACCAATTTCTGTCCTTCGCCTCCGTTTGGAACATCAGAATTCCTGTCAGTTAAGTCATCCTTTCTTTGTACCTATAAAGAAGAAGTAATCAGAAAAGAAATCACTGAATAGTTGAAAGCTTTTGATCAAATACATCTGTAATATGAGCTGTTGAGTAGTTAAAAACTGGTTGAGACCGTTTTACTAGCACTTGTTTTGAATTTTCATATCTGTTCATTATTCTTATAGCAGAGGCAGGCTTATTCCTTAGGCAGCTTTCGCTAGGTTTTTTGCTGTTCTTCTTTGGGTAATTTACGGGTGGGGACCCGGGAGTTCCAAGAGAAGGGATTATGACTAATGGAAACACAGCCTGTCTTTCCTGCAGCCTGAGCTTTGGGAGCGGGGAAGGGCTAGGAGCATGGGGCCAGGGGCACTGGTGGATTCACACACTCCCTCTACTCCCTTGGAGGAACAGGCTGAGCATGTAGTTTGTCTGTAGCTTCTGCCTCCCCGGGAAAGTGCTCACCCTGAAGGTCTGGGCTGGTGAAAGGAGACCACCAGTCCTACCGTTTCCCTTCAGATGGTAACTGGAGGCAGATTTTCAGATGGAGAAACCAGGGACAAGAGAGTTAGCAGGAGTCCCGGTTGTGATCAGGAACCCAGGAACCTGATTCTGACTGCCCTGACGAGGCTGCTTTCTCCACTTCTGGAGAAAAGCACTGAGAAGTGCTCATTCTAAAAACAACCCCAATCTACTTTTGGCTTCTAAGCTGTGCCCATCTCCTCTGAGGAAGGCTCTGGAACACCTGCTTCTGACATGCTCTTGAGAGAACTGGGGATTCAAAGCCAGGAACTCACCAGGGAGATGGTGGAGTTGGGAGGTTGGGTGTGGCACAAGCGTTTGAGTAAAGCCTCCTGTACCTGCAGCAGAAATAAATGCCTGGGTTATGCTAGCCCAAGTTCCAGCCTTGGCACCACTAGTCAGGCAGAGGTTAGGTGGCCAGACGCACCTTCTTGTCCATGAGGCAGCCGAAGAACAAGATGAAGACGCCCTGAAAGGTCATGGGGATAAGTTAGGCAGAGGAGGAAGGAATCAACTGAAATCAGCCCTTTCCCTCTCCCTTCAGCTTCTGTCCTCTTGTCTAATTCACATCCTGAAGCGTCCCATCTCGAGTTCTGTGTCAACATTGTTTGGTGCACAGGATCCATTTTAGGTGCTTTTCTTAACCGTTAGGATTACCTCAGCAATATCACAGGATTCAGTACTGACAGTTCCCTGACTTCTCTGACAAAACCAGGTATTATTTCACAGATAAGAAAACCAAACCTCAGAGAGGTTTGTCCACAGTTACCTAGCTGATCAGTGGAAGAACTGGGATCCAAACCTGAGCTTTCTAAAGTTCCCAAGCGTATGTTTCTGCTCCACCACCATGCCTCCCTGAGAAGGGACTGGCAGAGACTTAGACCATCTAAAAGGGCGGAAAGCACAGCCACCACGTTTTGACCCACCTGGGAGGTGTTAAGAATCGTGAAGGTGTAGTGAGGGACTACGGAGACTTCTAACAAAGTAGGCAGCCCCAGCCCCCAGGTGAGGCTGAAGATGGGTGTGAGAATGAGCAGGGCTTTGATCACCCCCAGAAGAGCATGGCGCTTTTCCACCTGGGGCCCTTCTGACAACGATCATCTCAGCAACTTCAGCACAGCCATAGTACCAGCCCGTTGACACCCACAATAGCCAGCAGTGGCCCCACGAAGATGTAGAGTGCCCCTCCCCTCCCTTCAGCCAGCATGCCCCCTCCCCCAGGTATTGCCCTCAGGGTAGGTAAAGGCCCAAAGCAATACCCGCAAACCCGATGGGGCACAGGTAGCCGAGTACCACCATCAGGGAGAGCACCCTGTGCTTGGACAACTGATGGAAGACAAAGAGCAGCTGGTGGGCCACATCCGGACCTGAGCCAGCATCCAGAAAAAAGTGGCCAGGTAGAGTGAGCTTTGGGGCCCTGGAGGTAGCAGTGGGCTTCCCAGGAAGCAGGTGTCTGCAGCCAGCAGGCAGAGCACCACGTTGAGCAGGGCCACGTGAAGTAGGTAGGCAACTTTGTTCCGGACCACAACTCTCCATACCAGCCTGTACACACCCAGGCACACAAGCAGTGCCCAAATGGAGGCTCCCAAGCCCACCTGGGTCAGCAGCTCCAGTGTGGGGTTTTCTGGAACAGTGTACTGGGACATGAGGTTGGAAAAGGCAGTGAGGTGCCGACAGATGCACTGAGTGGTGGGGCTGGTACTGGCTGCCTGGACCTGGCACCCTTCATCTGACCAGCCCCCCTTGGGGATCTCTTCTGGGGAAGAGATCATGGTCCCAGAAGACACAGTGGGGGTGCCATCTGTGTCCCCAAAGTCCATGATAACTTCTCTCTGATTGAAGGCCTGGCCACCTGCCAAGATGGAGATGGCAAACAGCAGTCCAGGAGTGGCATAGAAGGAGGCCCCTAGCCCTTATCCATAGTTTGAGGGTAGAAGGCTATCTAGTTTTCGCAGCATCAGGCTAGTAATACTGATGTTGGTTCCAACACGGCCCAGGGGGGGCCAGTGAGTGCCCGGGAATCTGTACCTGCAGTGGGGGCTGAATGGAGAAGGAGACTCTAGTCAGCAGGAAATGTGGGTCCCAGGAGCTGGGTCTGCAGCTGCACACTGGACAGGCTGAAGGAGAAGAGGTGATCCGGTGGGCACAGGCTGCGTGCCAGGGTCTCCAGAGCCAGCGGAAGATCTGAGCCCACCGAGGGCCTCTGGGCCTGGACTGGGGTCCACAGAGAACTGCTGTCCATGTCTAGGACCTTGTCTGTGGTTCTCAGGAGAGCCTGTGGTACCCAACAGAGAAATGAGCCCTACTTTCCTAGCCAGGGGCATTGGGAACTACAGACCCCAAAACCCACCCTTCCTAGTCCAGTGGGGAGACAGGGGCAAGGTGGGCAGGCCTGTGAAGGGAAAGTTTCTAGGTAGGAGGAACGGGGAGCTGCTCAGCTAACCGCTGGGCATCTTCAAGCAGGTGGTCTCCTGATGCACATCAAGTCCCTGCATCTGACAACCTTCTTCCCATCCATCCCTAAGGAGATGCACTCCAGTTCTGTGACCTCCACAAGTCTGTTAAGCTAGGCACAGTGCCCAGAGGTCGAGGGCACAGTGTTCTGAAGTAAGGGCCACATGCATGTCTTTACACCCATATGTGTTGCATATTCCCAGACAGGAATGGTGTATAGTGTCATTGCCCCACTTATTCTTCTGGCTGCAGCCTTTGAATCACTGGCTGATGCCAATACTGAGAACTGATTTAGGTGAGTCCTGCAAAGCCAAGTGTCATTTCAGTATCTCCATATAGC